ACCAGACAAAAAGAAGGACATTAGAAGAGGAAAGAGGTACTTTCTGACAAAAGGATGACAATCTCTCCAATGGAGGGACAGTTGGGACTGGCATTTCACCATGACGGGGAGTTTTGGGAGTGCATATGCCTGCACTTCAAACCTTCAGCTGTTTCCCCTGGTCCCTCCAGTAACAGTTTAAGATTCTACATCCCATTTTCCTTTATGAACCAAGGTGGGGGGTTAACCCTCTGCTGTCCTATGAAATAAAGAAATACTGAAAGAGTCCAGTGACCCCTTTATCAAGGCTATAGCCAGTAGGCAGAACTGGTAACCAAGAATCTATCCACTATTTAAGAAACGTTTAATGGTGAATTCAAGCGTGAAATGCATTGACTATATCAGCTCCTGATGTACAAATTGACATGACAAATTGTTCATAAAGCAATCTGTATTCATTTAGTTTAGTTACTGTATAATTAACTTCTTGAAAAGGAAGAAGAATGAAGAAGAAGCCAGTGTTGATTTCTTTGTTCCGTTGCTGCTGTTCTTTGTAAAATGAAATGTAGATGTTTTTCATTTCCACAAAGGGTATTTAAGAATCTCTCCTTAACAAGAAGCCAAAGCCTCACAATAAGTTAGACTTAAGTGAGTTCTGTTCTCCATACTGATCTTCATGTTAATTGTTTCATTGCTTGCTCATTCAAACATTTCAGTCTGGCACGATGCTCGCTGGACCTTCAGGGCTGAGCTTAGTCCACCCTGTTTTAATGATAGCTTCTACCATTCCTCCTTTCTATTTCACAAAAATGCTAATAATTATACAGTGAAGTCATGGTGAATAATCAATAGGTCCTGTTATTTGAAAAGTATATTATAACTGCGGAGGATGTATGGATATCATAAATTCATATAATAAAGGTAAAGGTGCTTGAATGTTCAAGGACAGTTCAAGGGAGCATGTTAAGACATTCAGTAGACTGCAAATGCTATCTAGTGCACATTGTAATTATGCTAATGTATCCCGGTCTGCGGTGCTCCCACCCATCACTGCACACCCTAGGGGGTGGCATGCTTGGATCTCTGTTGTGTTCCTTTTCCAACAAGTGGCTATTACTACACTGGTGTGGTGGTTTTAACTGATGAACCTAAAATTTTATGCCATATGTGAGTTGCCTACCTTTTATCCAAATAAACTTTCCCTGTAAGTCTATACTTGGAGTCGCTTCTTCTGTTCCCTTATGTTTTCACATGTTAGAGTCAGCTTCTGCTCTGAGGACAAGCTTGTCTTTAATGGATGGACATTAAAAGACTTTACTGCACGAGGATCAATTATGGGACTTTGATGTGATATTCATTAATACCTACCTGTATAGTCTTGGACATTTAGGGACTAGTCTTCTCTTTTGCACCTTGCCTCTGTATTTATTTTAGCCACAGGCACAAGCATTTCTCCCGCTCTGTGGCTGCCAGTGAGGAGAGTGAAAGAACATAGGATACTGTTAAGGCTGTTTACAGCCAGAGGAGAACCCACCTACCACCCTATGTTGCAGAGGGCACAGTGATGGGCTGCTGTGTATCCAGGGAGGACAGAGAACTATCTGGGACTATTGGAAATACAGTATTTTCGACTAAACCAGGGACTGGAAGGGCTATTAATCCTATCAAGACAGGGAGCTGGGAGGAGCAAAAAGGGAGAAAGTTCCTGGGTTTGGGGAATCACATGGAGAATAGTGAGAGGTGAATATTAAAGAAGACTTATGGGCAAAATTTATATTTTCCCATGCAGTGGGACTGTGCCTGTACTGCATAGGGTAAATGCTCATTTTTGTCTAGGGGCTCAGGAAGCAAAGATATACTTACCTAATCTACCGATGCTCTGAGAGCAAGACTGGTCCCCACTGCCCCTGCCCCCCGCACGCTAGCGGTCTTGTGAATGGGCTGTTCCTAACATCATCACACCCCTGGACCAGCTCCGGACATAAGGATGGCAGGAACAGTCCACCTTTGGATGTAAGGGAGAGTGGGATCAGAGGAATGGGTAAGTACAGCTTTTCCATGAGCCCCTGGACAGTGAGCACTTATCCCATGCAGTGCAGGCACAGCCGCACAACATGGGAAAATAAACTTTTTTACTAGAGTTCTGTTTTAAAGAGGACTGCTATGTCAGATTGCTGCCTCCTGGAGGCTTTATCATGGTGTTGGAAATACAGAGAAAAACTGCTGATATCAGCAGATTTGCGAGAGATTGTCATCGTTGAACCCTGTATCACAGCAAACATCACCAGATCTGTGAAAGACCATCTTTGCGGAGACCTGAGTCACAGCTGATATCACTGGGTCCAGGCTGGGAAAAGGTGAAATTCCAAATTGTTTGGTGGTGGGAGGCCGCTGGCAGCAAATTCCTACCCACGACTTAAAGTGACAGAATTCTCTTGTTTTAGGATACAGTTTGAATGCTTACACCCATTACTGTGGGACCCGCTCAAGTTTTAGTGCTCCAATGCCAGAACTTTGGTTTTCAACGAATGCCAACACACTAGCCAATGGGAGTGGTTTGGAGAAACTAACAGACCTTTAATTCTCAGTACTGCCCCTTAGTTAGGACTTCCCTGGTTTTAGGGTTAAGGGGCAAAAACATAAAGACATTGGGTCCTCCAGTTGTTTGTAGTGTTATATAATATTGGTATCTGTTATTGGTAATGAGAAGAGGAGGATCATGCCTGCTCCGTGCAAAACCATTACCACTTCCTATGGGGGCACTGGCTGAAAAGGAGGAGCCAAGAGCGCTGGCGGGGAACCCAAGAAGAAGAGGATCATGCCTGCTCCGTGCAAAACCATTACCACTTCCTATGGGGGCACTGGTTGAAAAGGAGGAGCCAAGAGCGCTGGCTGGGAACCCAAGAAGAGGAGGATCATGGCTGCTCTCTGCAAAATCATTGCACAGAGCAGGTAAGTATAACAATTTTATTATTTCAATTAAAAAAAGGAAGCTTTAGAATCACTTTAAAGTGAATCTGTCACCACTGAAAAAGGGCATTCTTTTGAAGAAAAAAAGTTTACATCTAATTGTCTAGTGGGAAGTGATTTAAATGTTTACTGTTTTCAATAGCTTTGTGCTGACACTTCTGAGTGTGTCAAATGGTGTGTTTCCCGCTGGGCATTGTGGTTCCTCCCACTATGCTACTGTTGAGTCCTGAGGCACCAAGCAAGGAACATACTATTTGACACACTGGGAAGCGTCAGTGAGCATTGGTGCCCAGACCTCCTCAAGAGACTCCTCAAGCACTTTACACAGCGTCCACAGGAGAGGTAAGTATAGAAACCTGGGCATACAGGCAGAACAGTGGGTTAGTGGTTAGCATTTTTGCTGGGATCCATGGTTTATTTCCTAGTCAGGACACTATCTGCATAGAGTTTGCATGTTCTTCTTGTGCTTGTGAGAGTTTCTTCTAGAGAAATAAAAAATTGGTCCCTCTCTAAATGTACTACATGCATGTGAGATGGGGACCTTAGCTCTAGGACTAATGTAAATGTACAATATGTAAATTGTTAACAGTATAAAACATACCTATGATTGATAAAACCTGATAAAGGTTCTACCCCTTGTCTGCTGGAGTTGGGCTTTAAAATTCTGTGTGGATTTTGTTAGTGTGAGCATTCTTGTACAATATGCGGGGGAATGCAAATAAAATTCAGAGGATGTAACAGTCTGCTGTGTAACAGCTTTTAGGACATCCCAGCGAAGGAAAGAATTTAATTGCGATCTGCAAATCCTGGCGTAAAGCTGGAATATCTCATTACGATTTAAGACTCCTGCACACTTTGTATGACACAGATGTTAAGGGTGTAGAATCTGCATCTGAGTTCAGTCTTGCAGTGTATCCTGTTGTGAAAAACACAACACCTGCTTCATGAGTCAAAGAACATAACTAAACTAACACTAGGAAACAGCCATTTCACACGCGGATAATGAGTTTATTTTAAGGAGCTATTTTTAATCAGATAGTCCAGAATTAGTTCATTTGGCACTTAGCGGCAACATTTAACCTAACGTGCATGTTAAAGTTTACATGCAGGAGCTATTTTTTTTTTTTAAGAGATTTTGTATTTATATATATATAAATATATCAGCGGTGGACTGACAACTTATGGGGCCCCAGGCAATAGGGGATCATGGGGCCCCTGTGTCCTTGCCCAAACTCAAAAAAGCCTATGAAAAAGGTACCAGGGGCATCTCATGGGGCCCCCTACTGACCCCGGGCCCTCGGGCAGTGCCCGAGTTTTCAAATGGTCAGTCCGCCCCTGATATATATATACAGTTGTGTTCAAAATAATAGCAGTCAGACATCGCTAACCTGATCCATCACTGTTTTTGGTAGCAATGATATTTCTACATGGCAAATAATTTACTAGCAGGTGTAGTAGAGTAATAGAAAACCAACAGACCCAACAGTCATGACATGCATGCTGCTGATTCTGTGTAATTGAATCACTAATTGAAAGGGGCATGTTCAAAATAATAGCATAGCAGTGTGGAGTTCTATTAGTGAGGTCATTCATTCTTTGAAAAACAGGTGGCAATTATTGCCCTTATTTAAGGAAGGAAGGCAGCAAATGTACATGCTGGTTATAATGCATTTCTCTCTGAAATTCTGAGGAAAATGGGTCATTCCAGACATTGTTCAGAAGAACAGCAGACCTTGATTAAAAAGTTGATTGGAGAGGGGAAAACATATAAAGAAGTGCACAAAATGATATACTTTAAAATGGCAACCAAAACCTGAAAGACGTGGAAGAAAGTGAAAAACTACCATTCGAATGGATAGAAGAATAGCCAAAATGGCAAGGACTCAGCCAACAATCAGCTCCAGGAAGATCAAAGAAGGTCTAAAGTTACCTGTGAGTACTGTTACAATTAGAAGACGCCTATGTGAAGCCAAGCTATGTGCAAGAAGCCCCCGCAAAGTCCCACTGTTGAAAAAAAGACATGTGCTGAAGCAGGGGCAGACTGACAACTCATGGGGCCCCCGGGCAATAGGGGATCATGGGGCCCCTGTGTCCTTGCCCAAACTCAAAAAAGCCTATGAAAGAGGTACCAGGGGCATCTCATGGGGCCCCTACTGACCCCGGGCCCTCGGGTAGTGCCCGAGTTTCCAAATGGTCAGTCCGCCCCTGTGCTGAAGAGGTTACAATTTGCTAAAGAGCACATTGACTGGCCTAAAGAGAAATGGCGCAACATTTTGTGGACTGATGAAAGTAAGATTGTTCTTTTTGGGTCTAGTGGCCGGAGACAGTTTGTCAGACGACCCCCAAACACTGAATTCAAGCCACAGTACACTGTGAAGACAGTGAAGCATGGTTGCGCAAGCATCATGATATGGGGATGTTTCTCACACTACGGTGTTGGGCCTATTTATCGCATACCAGGGATCATGGATCAGCTTTGAATACATCAGAATACTTGAAGAGGTCATGCTGCCTTATACTGAAGAGGAAATGCCCTTGAAATAGGTGTTCCAACAAGACAACGACCCCAAACACACCAGTAAACGTGCAACATCTTGGTTCCAGACCAACAAGATTGATGTTATGGAGTGGCCAGCCCAATCCCCGGATCTTAATCCAATAGAAAACTTGTGGGGTGACATCAAAAATGCAGTTTCTGAGGCAAAACCAAGAAATAGAGAAGAACTGTGGAATGTAGTCCAATCATCCTGGGCTGGAATACCTGTTCACAGGTGCCAGAAGTTGGTTGACTCCATGCAACACAGATGTACAGCAGTTCTCAGAAACAGTGCTTAAACAAACCAAATATTAATTAATTGATTCAAAGGAAAGCAAAATCTTCAAACATTTTTCAGTTTATATAGTGAATGTTTGAGTTTGTAAAGAAGAATACAAACACTGCTATTTTTTTGAACAGTCTAATATTCACTTTTCTTCAATTTTTTTAGAGGAACAACACAAATTTGATATATTTTTCTTCATTTTTTGATTTGGAATAGAATGTGTAGTGTTCCCAATGCATTTGTGTGTATGGAAATAAAAGCTATTAGAAGAATTTTATTCACTTTTTTCAACACACTGCTATTATTTTGAACCAGGGGCGGACTGACCATTTGGAAACTCGGGCACTGCCCGAGGGCCCGGGGTCAGTAGGGGGCCCCATGAGATGCACCTGGTACCTTTTTCATAGGCTTTTTTGAGTTTGGGCAAGGACACAGGGGCCCCATGATCCCCTATTGCCCGGGGGCCCCATGAGTTGTCAGTCTGCCCCTGTTTTGAACACAACTGTGTGTGTGTATATATATATATATATATATATATATATATTTACTTTTTAGGTTTTGAAAAATATCAAATAGTTCTAAATAGTTAAGTGTAAAAATGGGCAAAATAAAAAAAAATTAGATGCATGATGTAATCTGTTATCAGCATTAGCTCAGCAGTTTTTTTGTTTTTATGAGTCTCCCTCCCTCCCTCCTTCCCTCCAGACCATATTTTTATTATCTGTGTCAGTAGGTCTCTTATTTTTTCACTTCCATAACAGGGTGACAACCCTGTTTGTGCATAGTGAAATCGTACATCAGCATTGTCACCCTTTGGACATCCTAGCCTTGCATGCATATGTATTGTAGAGATTACCCCCAAAGGAGCGGTTGATGGATGGGTCCCTTGAGTATGAATGAAAATCGACTCTGACAATCTGACAATGCCACACTTTCTGCAACACCAAGGGTAAAGAAAACAGGTTTTATTTTGAGAGATACTCCCAACAAAATAACATACAGACTGTCAATAGCAATGACAGATACCAATTCTGTACAACACCGCAAACAATGAGAAGACCTCTTTAAAGTGGTAGTAAACTCCAAAAAACAAAACAAAAAAAAAGCCTAAAAAAATCTTCTCCCTGCAAGTTAAGATAATAATGTGCTAGTATGTATCACATACTGGCACATTTTGAAAGACTTCCCTGAAAACAAATCCCTGTAATGGCTTTCATCTTTACCCGGTCTTCCTTCCGAGTTCCCGGGCTGTGGCCGTGTGACTGGCCAAGCCACGGTGATGTCACTCCCGCGCATGCGCGAGGGACTCTCAGGCCGCTGCATGGCCCTCTCAATGGACAGCATGGCTTCCATTGAGAGTACAGTGCGCATGCACCGGTGACATCCCCAGTGCTGCTGAAGTATATGCACATTTAGGAGATATTTACAGTACCTACAGATAAGCCTTGTTAAACGCTTAGCTGTAGGTAAAACATGAAAAGATGACTTTACTACCACTACTTTACTGAACCCTAAATCTATAGAGGTCCTAACTAAAGTACAGTAGTGGAAGCTAAAAGGTCCTTCAGTCTCTCAAGTTCCTCCCATTGGCCAGTGTACACTTAAAGTGATATTAAAAGAAAATAACAAACATGTCATACTTACTTGCTCTGTGTGCAATGGTTTTTCACAGAGTAGCCCTGATCCTCTTTTTCTCGGGTCCTCTGCCAGTGCTCTTGGCTTCTCCCCCTTGACCAGTGCCTCTGCCTCCAATAGCAAGCTGCTTGCTATGGGGGCACTGGTGCATGCTCACTCCCGAGCCCCATTCTATGTGTCCATAAGACACATAGAGCTTCAGCTCGGCCTTGCCTCCCACTCTCTCCTCATTGGCTCACTGGCTGCGATTGACAAGAGTGGGAGCCAATGGCTCCTGCTGCTGTCTCAGCCAATGAGGAGAGGCAGACCTGGGACAGCATATTACTGGATTGAGATGGGGCTCAGGTGAGTATTTGGGGGGCTGGGGGAGCTGCTGCACACGGAAAGTTTCTATGCATGAAGGTAAAAAACCTTTAGCCTTTACAACCACTTTAAACATTGGGGCCTGAAGTTACTGCATTGGAACACTCAGGTTTGGGTGGATCCCATGGTTCAGGGTATAAATCAGCCCCTTTTTTCTCAAAAAAATAGGTGCAGGAACTCCCCTCTTCTGAGTCACTTCTTGTCTCCGCCCCCTACCCACTTTCAAGCACCATCACTTTGTTCCAACCCCCTACCCATCTCCCAGTGCCTCTCCTTTTAGAGAATACAAAGTCAAGTATCATTTTGTAGTGCTAAATAATTTGTATGGAATTTGTTTATCATAACAAGAAAAGGCGAAAAATAGATCCCCTGCATCCAGCAGCATGAGACCCCTCCAGAAACAATAGATTACTCCAGTAACAATGGACCCCCAAAACAAAATACCACCCCAGCAAGAATAGACCCCCTGCAGCTACAACTGATCTCCCAACAGCCAGAATCAATAGGCTCTCCAGCAGCCAGCAACAATGGACAATATACCCCTCCCTCAAGAGTTCACTTCCAGCAACATTTGAACCCCATCAACAATAGATCACCAACAGCAACAATCGACCTCCCCAGCAACCATAGACCACCACACAAAAATAGACAATAGTGACAGTGACAATAGAGCCCCCAGTAAGCAGCAACAATAGATCTTCCAGCACACTCCAGCACCCTTACATACAGTCAGTGCCGAAACTGCGTTTCCCGCTTTCCCTTAGAAAAATGCCCTGGTATAAATACTCAAATTGTAACGCAAGGCACGGTCACACTGTCCCTTTAAGTAGTGAGTGAGGAGGTTGTGGCCCACAGCCTCTCACCAGTCTGCAGTCAAGATTCTTCCAGCTCTCTGGCATCGGGAACTGGTGAAGATGGCAGCGACTCAGGACCCAGTGTGATCACGATCCCTCATGGAACCAGTAATGTCTTTTTCATTTACCTCTCTGGACCTCTTCGACAGCTGTGCCCACTGTACCATCCTAGCCTCTTTCTCTGACACTGTGGCAAACACTCACAACAGGCCTCTCACATTTCACATGAGACTGCCGTGAACTCTGGCTTCTCTTTTCTTTTCCTTCCTCCTGCAGCTCTGTTCTGCTGGGACTCGTAGTTGCTTCCAGTACTTGGATTGATAAAGGCTGTTTTCTGGAAACTATATCTCCCATAGTTCCAAGTGTCTCCCACAAGTCTTTCTGTTCCCAAGCTGCACAGTAACCAATCACATTATCCTTCTCAACCTAGGGCAGTAGACAGGGCTAAAATAAGCCAGTAGCCAATAAAACTCCTCTTGGCTGGTTGCTAGGGGTGAGTCCTTTGCTCACACAATCAACCAATAAGTGCTGAGTCTTCCTCTTACACCCTGCAGCTGCTTGGCAGGATTTAAAGAGCCCAGACCCATGCCACACATACGTAGTTTTAAATGAACTAAATGAAGGTTTTAAACCATATAAATAAAATCTAACTATTGTAGACACCTCCACCAATATGATATGGCTTTTTCCAACTCCGATTGGCTACGCTGCATCCAGGTGACCCTGGCGGCTATCTTGGGTCATGCAGAGTCATTTTAAGTCCTTGCCCCTGGTTTTTGGTGCTTTGGCGAAGTGGTTATTGTAGGGACAGCACTAGTGGCAGGTTGAGGTTCCGGAGGAGTAGGGAGAGCTCAGGACCTAAGTCTGCCACATCAACGAGCTTACATTTGGGTTGCACCAGCCAGGACACACTCAGTCTGTCTTGACAGACTGACAGGTGCTGTCTTCAGTATGGGCCTACTCTCCACTGACTCTTTGCTCCATTGACTGTAAGTTCATGCTCGGTTGGCTTCCCCACTGGGCTGCGGTACTGTTGCAAGTTCTTCAATATAAAAGTTAATGCACTCTGGGTCTCTTTGTGTTTACTGCCACGCACCATGCTGTACCTACCCAACGTGGCTCTAAATAGAGGAGTAACAGAGACACCTTTGGACAGCAGTATTGTCAGTCTGTTGACAGGTTAGTGTTAGATGCAGTAGCAGATTTAGATTATCTTGACTAATAAAATAAAGCTGAATTCCAGCTAACACTTTAGAATGCAGCTACAACTACAGGTTTTTCTTTTCTTTTGGGATAATGGTTTTACCTAAATTAATAAAAAATGACCATTGTAAACACCTCTGTCAATGGTAAATAGTTTGTCTCAACAATTTAACTGCCACTTTTGCTGGTCAGCTTGGTCTGTTAAAGGAAGATGAAAAAAAAAAAAACTTACTGGAGGGATCACAGGAGAAAACTCTAATAGAGCCACCACATCTAGAGATTGATACGGTGCAATATATTACATTTTTTGGTTGTGAATTTAATATTTGAAACGTGGTGGCTGCTCAGGTCT